ATTATATATCCAAATGTGTCGTTCAATTTTTTTTCAAAGAAATTACCAAAACGTTTCATGTATCATAAGAGTAAGTTTTTAGCTCAAGAAAATATTGTATAAATATTTAAATGAGAGTATATTTTTAAATGTGTATATAAATAAGAAAAAATATAAATAATTGTATAATATTTTATAGCATAATATTAAGTTTTAGTAGTTGAAATATTAAAATTGATTATCGCTAGACCCTAGACCCGGAACGAGGTTGACGTTGTCAAAGAACATCTTCCTAGAGAATATCGTCAGAGACAAAATGTTTATGTTCAAATAAATAATAGTAGGAACAGAATTGAAGAAGCATGTTTTCCACGTTTCACCGTCTTGATAGTTTAGGTGCCGCATGGACGTGTATATATTTTTAGCCACTCATATTTACTGAACATAATTGCATGGAAAATGGGTCAAATAGTTCTCAGGGTCACTTTCAGCCTGCTGGGTGTAATGAATGGTTACGATCTGCTAGTCATGTAAATGAAATAAATCATTGCCCATTAACACTGTTAGAATTTTTTTTTTATCATACATCTAATTACTAATTAAAATTTATTTAAAATTATATAAGTATAAAAATTAAATATTAAATTTGAAGTAAAAAAAAAAGTGTAACCCATGTAATATTTTAACTAATAGCTAAAAGTATATTAAAAAAATATATTTTTAATAAATTTTTTCGTTGCACGATTATCAATAAATAGATGCTTGATTATATATTTAATTATTATTGAATCAAAGCCTTCACTTGTTTAAAGACCTATGCAAGATTTAAAACATTGTTTTATAATAAAGTATGGTAAAATGTCTTCATCATATATAGACATCGATTTGAATATATAAAAAATATTATTCAAATATATATGATAATTATTTTATGGCTACATTCTTTTATTGTTTAATGGATAACTATTTATTCAAATAGATATAATTATTTAAAATAAGTGCACTACAAATTAGGGATGATGGGTACCAAATATCCAAAATAAAAGTGTGTGTTTGGTTATTCATTAAAATTAATTATAAGTACGTTTCAAATGTGAAAACTTGTTTTAATAGCTTTCAAATTATACATGTTTAATCTTAACAGACGCAAAACTTAACATGCAGAGAACAAATCATAACTTTGAAAAGGCTCTAAATTCTGAGCAATACCTGTCGTTTATTTTTTGCCATAGAAGAGCTTTATCTGCACAGAAACTATTTCAAACTAAAAACTAATTTATCTTTTGTTGCTTAACATGTGGCAATGGAAAATATAGATACTAAGAATTAAATACGCATAAAGAAGAAGATACTAATTTATCTTTTTTATTGATTTAATATCTTTTAATATTATTTAAACAAAAATACACAAGAAAAAGATATTTTTTTCTCTTCAGTTGTTTTGGCTTCATTTCTTTCCATTTTCTTTCAATCCAGTCATCTTCTTTTTCTCTTGTGCTTATTCGGTCTCTTTCTTTTTTTTCCTTCTCCATCTCTTCTTTCAACCCCATCCAATTTTCTTTTTCCCCTCTCCTCCCCTTCACCTCAACTCATCCTGCTTTCCTTCTCTTCTCATCTAAAACCTTTTCCTTTCCTCTATTAGTCTTCTCCCACTCTCTTGTGCTCTTGCCTCTATCTCCCTTTTAGCCTCCTTTTTTCTCTTTTTTTTAAATTTTTTTGTCACTTTTTTTAAATTTGTTTAAGCGAATTTTTTTTAGCTTAAGTCAAAATTATTTTTCGTCAAAATTTACTTAAGCGATAAGTAAATTTTTTTAGCTTAAGTGAATGAGAAACTACAGCCTGCAGTTCCAGCCAAAACTGCAGGTAATCCGGATCCAGATAGTACTTAAAAATATAGATACTAAGCTATGTTTAGGAGTAACTTTTTAGAAGAAAAATAAGAGAAGATATATTTTTTAATTTTAAATTAAAAAAGTTATATATATTATTTATGATGACAATATATTAGTAATATATTAAATTTATGTTAATATATTAATTTATATATTTTATTTAAAAAATATTAATTTTAGATATATTAATTTAAAATATAAATTTTTTCTTCTATTCTAAAATTCTCCTATATATATATATATATAAAACTTTATAATCCCATAAATTTAACAAAAATAATCATTTTGAGTTAGCATAATGCAAATTTAAACGGATTCTCGGTAGCGAGGAAGAAATCTCTCCACCCAAAAGTCCTAAAAGAAATTCATGAACATTGGTTTCTTTCGTTCGACTGTGGGATGCCACTGTTCCTTATTTTAGGGTTGTTTGGTTTTGCAACTTTTTTTTAATATTTTTATTACTTTTAATTATTTTTTTGAAGCAGCCAACAACAAATAATATCAAGAGGTTAAGAGGGTAATCCAATCCATACACATAAGGCGAAAGATAAAGGTAATACATTTTTGTGCAGCCAAAAGACTAAATTACTCCAAAACAAATGACAAACCCTCCTTGCTTTCATTTATTTTTCAAACTGCATGATGTGTGTTGAAAGATTTATATAATATTTTATTTTAAATTTTAAATATTTATATAAAAATAATAAAAACATATATAACTGAAACTGAATGATCCCTGATAGGTTGCTTTATACTATATTCTCTTAATTTCCATAGCTATCTATTATTTTCTCTTTATATTTGAAAAGCTATTACTATGTGTTTTCATAATCATATTTTTAAAAATATTTATATCTAAGCTTATTCTTGCATGATTAGTAACTTTAATAAAATATTTCGATTCAGTCTCAAAATATATTTTACTTTGTCAAGATTACAATAAAAAATTATAAAAATTTAAAAGATACAAAATATTAAGATAGTATAAATAATCAACGGTAGACAATAAAAATATAAAATTATTAAAGGTGACGATTTTTGAAAGTTATTATGAGTAGTATCTAAAATTTGTCTTTAAAAATCAATTTGTAGAATGTAACAAGGTTGAAACTTTTGTTATTGAAAGCTACACAAACCCCCTATATATTCGTCACTTATCAAAGGATTAGACGTACCTCAAGCAAGTTTTCAACCATTTTATTTTATTTTTCTTTCAAAAATTTTAATTAATTTAAATGATAATTTTATCTTTATATTTGACTCAAATTTATAAATTAATTTTTATATACATACAAAATTTATAAATAAATTCTTATACGTGCATTTAAATGTTTTGTATGTTTTTTCTAAGTCAATATTTAGATTAATATTACAAAATTTTAATGCAAACACACAACTCCAAGACTCTTAAACAGTGAGTTACTAACGTTAATTGAAAGTGTCATCGTATGTTCTACAAAGATAGAAAAACCTTGTTTAAGTAAAAGATGCAAAATTTTGTTAAAAAATAAATTTAAATTAAATTCTAGTGATTATAGATTGGTTTACAACAGTGAGTTTCAATCCAAATTACATAAACATGCACGCATCTCTCATGAGTATTGCAAACCAATCTACAGTCCCTTCCATGCCTTGTTTACCTATGGAACAAAAAAGGAAAAACATAAAAACTCACAATCTGTGGAAAAAGTCTGGATTGTAAAATGTTTGGATGCAGATAACAAATTGAATTTGTAAAATAATTATAAAATAGTTTTAATATGGACACCTACGCTTTTTGCAGCATAAGTTTAATTCATGATAAGACAGTACTAAAAAAGATGGGTGGTGCTGCACTTTTCTTTCTTACAGTGTATTTGGCTTCGCAAAAATGATACGACTTTTCAAAATGCAATAATTGATGAAGATAAGATTACGTATTGTATTAAAATGAGATATTGGCTAAAGCCAAGTTTAGTTTAATTTGAAGGTGCTGATTTTTCTTTTTACAGTAGATTTTTGATCCCTTGATACGAACTTTTATATAATTTCGTTAACTTCTATTTAAATATTGAAATTAAATATTTAAAAAGTAGTAAATTTTTATTGAAAAATTATTATTGAATTGAAGATAAAAAATTATAATAAATAGTATATTTAAAAAACTGTTTTTATTAATTATTTAAACTCAACTTTAAAAATTAAGATTAACAAAATCAATTTATTTTCTAAGAAAATGTGATGTAGATGGGTTGGGATAACTGACACTCTCTAAAATAATATTTTTTAGCTGTTCAAAATTAAGAAAATAATAATTTTAATTCATTGTTAGTATAATTTTTTAATCATCAATTGATTAAAATACATAATAATTATAATTTTTAAATTCATTATTACAAAAGTTAATAATTTTTTATTTATATAATGATTGTGATTGAATATCAATATAATGCATTCTAATTAAATTTAATAAAAAATTATAAAATGATTTAAATTGAATTTATCTTATTAAAAAATCAATAAAATATAATACTTTTTTATTTTTATCTAGAAACATTTAAAAAAATCTATAAACATAAATTTAATTTATATAAGAAAAGATTTTTTTACACTACTGTAAATTTAAAAATTTTTACACTCAATTTAAATTTTTAATTTAATTTATATTTATTGACTAATAAAATAATAAATTATAATAGATTTTATATATATATATATATATATATATATATATATGAGTATGATCTCTTTATAATATTTAAAAGTTTTTAGACTTATATCAGTGTAAAAAATTCTTCTTCATATATAATATAATAATATCTTTTTACACTAAAAATCCTTATATTTGATTTCATCCTTTCATTAAAATATTATTTGAATGCAATCAAATTAACATAGACAACGATGTCCAAAAAGATAACCAATCTCCATGAGCACTGATGTATGCTTGGTACCGAATGAATGGTATAAATAGGTTAAAATATGCAAACTTTTGGTCCAAGGGCAAAGAAAGGAGTTTTGGTCTCTCTTTCTTGAATTTGTCTCTCTCATTTTAGTCGTACTAGTAAACTTGAAGATTCTGTCTCTCTCACTTCAGCAATAAATTGACACTTGTAATATATACATATACGCGACTTGCTGCAGATGATGATGAAAATTATCCCCGATAAAAGTGGGCTGAGGAAAGGAGCATGGACACCAGAGGAAGATAAGAAGTTGGTTGCTTATGTTACAAGATATGGCCACTGGAATTGGACCCTACTCCCCAAGTTTGCTGGTAAATTCACTTTAATATATATCTAATATTTCTCCCTTGGCTACCGGCCAGAGAAGCCATTTTATTTTTCTCAAATCAATCATCATATCATAAACTATGAGCACCACTACCATCAACATGTATATATATAATCTCTAATTTGATTTTCTAATAATTTTATTAAATCATTTAAAATCTCCTGTAATGTTCCATATTTTGTTGGGATTAACCTAACAATATTGGTGCTGTTATGAAACCATATATTATATTATGTTATTGAATTTAATCTTCAGGTCTTGAGAGGTGCGGAAAGAGTTGTAGGCTAAGGTGGATGAATTACTTAAGGCCTAATATCAAAAGAGGGAACTTCACTCAAGAAGAAGATGAGACTATTATGAAGCTGATCCAACGTCTTGGTAACAGGTGTGAACCCGGTGTTAAACTCCTCATGCTGCATGAAATGGGGAGCTGCAGTAAATGAAATAAAATAATATTAATTTCTCCCCTTAAAGCTGAGAATAAGTAATTAAAAGTCATAATTTTTTATTAAAAATGTTTATCAATTTAAAATTAAAAAGTGCAATAAATATTTTTATTATTTTTAGATGTTTAAATCCAATTTTCAAAAATTAAAGTTAATAAAATAGATTAAATAAATTGAGAGTGTTTAGAAACCGTTATATTTTCTTGTTAGTAGAAATCATTTCGAAATTCATTCAATAATCATCTACAGTGTATAATACTGATGACATCACATTTCTATTACAGTTGTTTTAGATTCTATTAAATGTTGAACTAGTAACAGTCTAATCTAAATTTCTCTATATAGGATTTAGATTCTTGCAGTTTTGGAATTTTAGTAAAAAGTGATTTTGACTTAAGTTAAAACAAATTCGTTTATGCCAGAAAAATTAGCTTAGAAAAATACACACATCTTCTTTCTGCGTATTTTTGCTTCAAAAATACGCAGTAAGAAGAAGATGCTTCTTTGTCTCCTTTATTTCGGTTATTTCTCTTCTCTTCTTCTTCCAATCCAGTCATCCTTGTCCTCCCTTTCTCTCACTCAGTCCCTTTCTTTTTTTCCCTTCCTAATCTCTTCTTTCTTCGGCCCATCCCATCTCCTTCCGCCTTTTTCCTCATCTAGCTTTCCTCCCCTCCCCTTCCCTTCCCTTCACCCCGACTCATCTCCCTCCTCTTCTCTGCTCATCTAACCCCTTTTTTCCTTTCTTCTATTAATCTTTTTCCGCTCTCTCTCTTCCTTGTGCTCTTTTCTCCATTTTTGATCTTCCTTTCTCTCTTCTTCTGCTTTTTTTCTACTCTTTTTAAATTGCTTAAATGAATTTATTTTAACTTAAACCAAAATCATATTTTACCAAAATTAGTTTAAGCTAAAAAATTTTGTTTAACCAAATCCAAAACTGCAGTTCAGCCAGAAATGCAGGCAATCTGGATCCTTCCCTATATGTATGTGGTGTTTGCACAAATCATAAGATTCATTAATATTCGTGTTAGGATCCGAGTTTTGTTGAAGTTCGCTTAACACTACTAATATAATACTCAAATTATTTAATGAATGTAGGTGGTCTGCGATTGCTGCTCAGCTGCCGGGAAGAACGGACAACGAAATAAAAAACTACTGGCACACTCATCTGAAGAAGCGATATCAACAAAATGAAAAATCTGAAGTTTCCAAGTCGAAGGATGAATCCCCACTTCAACAAATGCCAAAACATGCTGATGCTCTTCCATCAACATCTAAATCCACCCAACTCTCTATAACAACAGATCATAGCAACGAATATTTTGTTCTTGAAGATGAATTCGCTCTTCTGAATGCATACTCAGAGCCCTTGAACGGAAACTTCTGGTTGGAACCTTATATGCCCGACATTTCGATTGCTCCTTGTGAAGATTTGGATTTGGGGGCACAAACCCATTGCTTTAGCCCTTTGCGTGACGTGCCACTTTGGAGTCATGACCATGATTAGTGTGCGTCAAGAGACGCAAAACCAACGAAGAACGTACGAAAATCAATAATCATCATGAAAAGTAATAGTTTTAAATTATATTGAATGTATAAATAAACGATAATATTTAAAATTTGATATCATCAATTACACTTAAATTCAATTATATTTTTTTTATTACTATTTTAAGGTCGAATTTAGATAAACGTCAAATCATTATAAAAATAAATAAAATTTCTCAAATTAAAAATAATTTATCTTCTCAAATTTTAAAGAAGTTAAATAATTTTTTTCAAATAATAAATAAAAAAATTAATTTTAACTTATAAAATTAATTTTTTAATTTTTTACCTATAACAATTTATGAAAAAGTTTATTAAAACTTGGACCTTTGTTACCGAATATCAGCACCAACAAATGAGGAATAATTTAATATTTTTATTGCATTATAAGAAGTTGGGCCAATAACCCAAGCCTTATTTTAATGCCCACAAGATCATGGGCCACGATGCAAATTCCTCGAACAAAAAACAAAAAATCACGGAAAGCTCTGTTCTGGTTAGAGCACTTAATATAGGTGGCCCTGGTCCAGTCCGATACAGATAAGTTCAAATGAGTCCAGTTTATTTAGCCTAAGATAAAAATGAATTTGTATTTCTACTATTCCAGACTTGCCTTATATGGACTTATATGGACTACAGGTTTCTGCAGGTTAATCAGATAACTCAAATAATTTTCTTTAGCTTTTTTTTATATTTTTGTAATAGGCTATTTTTTTATTTTTTTTTTATAATAATAAGATACATTTGCTGTTTTTAGTGTTTATAACAAGCTATTTTAGATTGTTTTTGTAACTACTTAATAGGTTACTCATTTATTTTGTCTAGTTTTTATATTAGACTATTTTTTTTTAAGTTGTAAACTAATTCTTTATTTTTTTTTTGTAATAGTCATTTTTTTAATTTTTATACATGCAATAAGTTCACAATTGAACAAAGTTATAAAGACAAAAGTTCCATATACATAATAAGTCCACAAAAATATAAAACAAGATCAGAGTATAAATAAAAAAGTTTACAAAAATTAAAAAAGTTCATCAAAGATTTAAATATCATAATTTAAAAATATGAAATTCTTTGAAAAAGCTTGGAATCATTAAGAATAATGGTCTCTTTTTCGTTAACATCATCTTCATTATCATATTCTAAAAAAAATGACTATATTAATAAATTTATATAAAATAAATTTAAATCTTAGATATGATAATTTTGTATTCTAAAAAAATAAATAAACTTTTAATTTTAGGATTCTAAAACTAAAAATATGTTTCCTTTTAAACTTTCTAAAACTCAATGTTTTATATATATATATATATGCGAGTTGTCTGAGTTGTATGAACTGGTTCAGTTAAAGCCCTGTCAAGTACCAAACTTATTTAGATCAGATTAAAACGGTCCAAAATAATTTTAGACTTTGTTTTTTAGAGTCCAAACTCGTTTATTTAACAAAAAATTTCAACTCAGTCCATCTAGCATACTGTAATTTAGGTTCTTAATAAGAAATCAACCCTGCAATAATGATTCTATCTGGTAAGCACAATTCATTTTGCTTTTCTTAGGTCAAGCAGTCTTGACGCATATAAAGTCAGTTGATTTATTTGTATTCAAAATTGATATTTTAAAACGAATTCGTAGAGATTTAATCCAGATAAAGATTATTACATATTAAGTTATAGCAAAAAAAAAATTTAACAAATTTATAATAACTTAATTTTATAAGAATTAAAATTTTATTTAAAAGTAATTTTAAAATGTATGACACTTCAAATTTTGTTAACTAACACAATATTTACCGAAAGAAGTAACAGAAATGAACAAATTTTTTTATTCGCTTGATTTTGTAGACTAAATTTTAACAATTTTTTTCTTTAAATTTTGAATTCAATAACTTTTATAAAGATTAAAAGTTTATTTAAGCTTTAATTATATATTCTTTTGATTTTTTATTAAGTGAATTTATAAATAAAACTTTTAATTTTTTTATATTACAAATGTTTTTCACAAAATATAATTTTACTCAAATTGGGTAAAATCAATACATAAGACCTTATTTGATAATGCTTGTTAATTATTTTAATTGCTTAAAATAACACTACAAAATGCTCTTTGTTATATTAATACAGTAATTTTTTTTAGTTATTCTCTTAAACAAGCACTTGTTAACAAATATGACATACCTCTTTTATTGGAAAAAAAAAGTTTGGTAAAAGGATTGTGTGTGTACGACTGACTTTAAAGATGAACATGTGCGACACAATCTTACACGCATATATACGACTGACTTTAAAGATGAAGGACTTTTGCATGTTGCATGTTGCATGCATATCATTAAGATGATGTAATATATATGTGTGATATATGCATGGTGCATAAACATAGTTCATTTCAAGAGACGCTGCAGCTTGACCACAACTTGTTAAATCCACGCCCACCACACAAAAGACCTGTCATCTTCACTCTCAAATAATTGCTGTCTGTTTTTCACGCTTTCTCATCTTGTGGCCATTTTTCAAAATTGTTTTTCCTTTGGTGTTTATATCAGATCAGGGGAAGGGATATAAAGAACTGAAGCACTAAACGGCTAGCAACCACCATGACTTCTTGTACAAATGACTAAAGGAGTCAATCTGCGTAATTGCATGGCACTGTCTCCAAGTTAGTGGACTCTACTTTTTTAATTTTTTTTCTTTATTAATAGAGGGTCTTATGAATCAATCATTTCTTTTTCTTATTAGAAATGTTTTTACGAGAAATCTAATATTTCAGAGCATCCAGTGAACACAGATAAGTAACAATTATAGTATTAATCTTACTTTTTTCACACTTCTATGCTTACATTCACGGTATACATCTCTACTCTTGCTTTTTCTTTTTGCTTTCAAAGTATATATAATAATAATAATAATAATAATAAAAACTATAATTTTAATACTTTATCTATGAGATTTTATTCTATTATTTTATAAGAATTATTCCTTGATTTAACTAAGTTTCTCTATTTTTATTGTAAGAAGTGATAAAACTGTAATTTGATTAAAATAAATTAAATCATGAAAAAAGATTGCTAAAATTAAGTAAAGAATAAATATATTTTAAATATAGGCGCTCTCTCTTTCGTACTTCACTCAAGACCCATCGTCTTTCAATAAAATATTTCTCTTATGTATTATTTAAAACTCAATTTTGTCGGATTATCAGATATTTTAGTTTTATTTTGCCTATATGGACTTCAACAACAAAAATAAAAAGATCAATTGATGAGTATGTGACCACCAGACTAAACATACATGGAAAACAATTAGATTATGAGAGGATAATGTAAAAAGAAATCATTATTATATCAAAAATATCAATTAATATTACTTAAAAATTATAATATAAATATATTATTTTTCAAAATTTACTTAATACTATATATTTTTACAAAAATTGTTTTAATAAAAATTCCACAGGTGGATCGACAGTTTTTTTTAACAAGTCAAAAAAATATTAAAAGAAGGTATAAGTTAATAATTATTTTTATAATTAGTAAGAAAATTGTGGATAAAAATTATAATTTATAAATAAAATAGGAGGAAATATTTAAATTTAGGAAAGAACTATGGATAATTAACTAGAATTTTTTTTTTTTACAGAAGAAGAAATTCAAGTATAATTTGAACATATAAAAAAGAAAACTTTTTAAAATTGCAGAGAAAATTACTATGCATAATAATTTAAAGAATAACTTTGAAACTTAAAAGAAAAAAAAAACTAAGTCACCAAAAAATATTTGGTGAGGTTAAATTTAAGGATTCTAAGAGATTAAATCGATCACCCTAAAATAAATATATTCTAAATTCTCATTTTATCTTCATCTCATTAAAAAAATAGATTAATAATTCAATGCCAATTTAACGTTTTGTAAATATATTTTTTTAAAAAATTTAAACAATTGATATAAATGTAATAAGATTACATATATATATATATATATATATATATATATATATATATCAACAAATAATTTGGTTAGTAAAAATATTAATACATTATAATACATTATAGGTTAGCATATAATATATTATTTTTTACTGTAAATTTTCAAAATTTATAATAAATGATTTTTTGTTCAAAAAATTATATTAACAAAAATCAATTTATTACTTAATAAATAACAAATTTTTATTATCTCGATGAATAAAGTTTAAAGGAGGTTGTTCCAAATCTAACGTTTATTGTTGATTTGATAATATATAACTATTTATTAAAATTTATTGGTGACTAAATTTTTATTTTAGTCCCTAAAATAATAAGCATTAAATATTATAATCATTAAAAGTTTAAAAATATCATATTAATATTTGACTTCCATATTTATTGAGCATTTTAATTTTAAAATTCAGACCGCCAAATGATAAGAATAAGATGCTGACGTATCTAAAAGATGACTTAACAAATACAATGTCGTTTCATATGTATAAATAAGGAAATTAAACAAAGAATTATTACTGCAATTTTTCCTTTTATTTGAACAAAAGGAAAAGACTGGGAGGGACATGTTTGATTAATTTCATTGTTCTTTGCTACGACATGATACGGCACTTGAGAAAAACCTTTCTGATCCTGTTTTTCTTCTTTGCGACATTTGATAGTGGAGGAAAGAGGGCTACGTCATGGTATATAAAGGATCCATTTCTGGTCTTAAAAGGAGATCGTGTTTGACCCATCTTCCAGTAGCTATATATTTTCAAGAATTTGGTCAAAAAGCAAAAAGAAAGGAAAAAGCATCAAATGAAAATTGAAATTATTTTTTCCATACACGGTGGTACTAAATAAAAGAACTACTTAAAAAAATTATTATTAATTCATAATTTAATATTACATTAGTCTCTAATAATATAAGTTTTTTTTAATGAAATTTAAATTGTTAATATTAAATTTGAATTTAATGTTATTACTTGTTATTTTAATTTAAATATG